GACTATATAAAGAGAGACCAGTGAGAAAATAATAATATAAATATTCTGTGTTTCTTCACTAAATTCTACATTCTTTATACAGTTTCAGTTTAGCAAAATAAAATGGTGAATGAATATTTCCCGAGTACTCACATGAGTAACTGACGATGAGTACTCACTGAGTAACAATACTCAGAAATTTTTAGTAGTACCAATATGAGTACTCATGGACGAATTATGAGTAAAGGCGTACTCATCGTGTGAGTACTTTCACTAGAGTATAACTGCATACTTTTTCGTTTATTATGGTGAGGAAGATTTTTCTATAATAAACTTAACATGAAAACATTTCGATTGTGAAATGCGCGTATACACACGTTTGTCTTTTTTTCGGAAAAAGTCGTGCCTGAGAGCGTCTACAGTTGAGGGATTTTAATCAGCTTGACACAAAAGCTCTAAAACGCATATGGATGCATTTCCGTTCTCGAAAAAATTCGTTCTTTCGAGATCAAGAAACGCACCTGGACGTACTTATTTTTATTCTCATTGTTGAGATGAAAGTCTTTTTTGTTTTGTATATTACAATCCTCGATAAATAAACAAAATTAACGTACTTATTCTTAATCAAAGTAAAGAATCTACGTGTAGGCACATCTGAGTCCAAACGGTTTTGTTATATCGAAATGAAAACAGATACTTCTCAACGATAAAATTTTCCATTGTATTTTCACTCGATATTATTTCACAAACATTCTACATCGATATTGATTACATATACTAGAGTTTCCAAGACTTGTTAAGGTTCCATAAAGAGCTGGAACAACTTTGTTTTGAATATTAAGAACATACTGCATATACATCTTCCTTTCTATTTTATAAACAGTTGCTCGAAGAAGCTTTTGATCTGAGAAGAGATTATACACGAATGATAGAAAACAGCTACAAAGTAGAAAACATAAACGACAAAAACGTGGAATTAAATCTCTCTTGTTGGTTGTTGATTTGTTTTCATGGATAGACGTTGTTATACACAAATAGTGAAATCATGTGAAAATTTCATTCTCTCGAAAATAGAATCGTTTCGTTATTCCCTAACGTCAATAATTATCATCACCATTCATACTTAAAATTGAATGGGTCGATGAATCCATCAATGAAATGTTCGGTGCCTGATGTATGTGTGGGTGATGTTGTTGCAATGGTGTGGACGATGGTGGTTGTTGTTGTTGTTGTACATGTGAATGATGTGGATGATGCTGTTGATGATGACCTCTTGTCGATTTACTACCACGTTTCGCCCCGCCACCACGTTTAGTCGTTGTTGTACGCTCGTTCGTTATCGACGGTGATTTGAGTGGATGATCTTTTTCACAAAATAAATGTCCATGTACAAATACGTATCGATCGCCTGTCACTAAACGAGTTCGACATTTATAACAACAAAAACAATCTATATGATAATAATAATTTGGTGGCACACGCATCACTCGTTCTTGTGTTTGAATTATCTGACTACATGTTTGACACGGTTTACTACCATATATTCTAAAATGAAGAACAAAATAATAATCCGATTAATAGCTTATTTCTTAAAACATATATTTTAACTTTTATTTCTTGCTATTTATCAAGTAAACACCCTTATCACTTATCATTGTAAAAGAATCTTTGAAAAATGACGTCATCTATAAATATATGATGTTTCTCTAACAAAAGAAGAATGTCTTCTATACTCTCGCGTTAAATCTAACCCTTTTTATTGAGCCTATTATTTATAGATGATCGATTATTAAATTAGTTTTCAATTATTTTGTGACAAAGAACGACCACACGTTCTTTTCCATTCTTTTATCATATTCTCTTTCAATAATTGATAAATCTTTTTTAAGCGATATATAGAAAAAATAACAAAGGAAAAACGGTAGAAAAAAAAATGCAGACACCTTTTAAAACCATTGAAAAATTTTCTGTTGGAAAGAATTAATTATGAACCTGGATCATAAATGAGTGAGAATCTAAGCGTGATTAGAACATAGAAAATGACTGAATTTCTTGCGTTTTTTTCATCGATATAAGGTTTCCAATTATTCTGGTCTATTTAGAAATACATCACAAAAATATTTAAATGATTTTTTTGTTGCTGATGTAACTCGTCTATTTGTTTTGTTAACTTGAGTTACATCAAATGAAGCCCATTAAAACAGAACAAAGAGAAACCGTAGACGTTTTTTGTCTATGAAAATAGTTTTCTTTCTCTCTATATTTCATCTTCAAGAATTCAAATAAAAAGGTGTAGTTGGATAAAAGAACTAACACTACTAAGGGATCTTTTATTACGCAAAATTTGATTGTTTAGTTCGCTATGAATCACGACCGATGGAACGAACAATTGATGTTTTTTTCTGCTAAAGTTAATTATACTGGTCTCCCAAACCAATACGACAAGCCGAAGAGATCAAAACAATCAGATGTGTCAGATTTCAAAGATAAATTGTCATGAACTGGTCAAAAGATTGGTCAAATTAACGGAAAATAACAATATCGTACTTGGTTAAGAGATTATAAACAGTTTATTCTTCGCCTACGTGTTTAACGAGATTTCTCTCACTGATAGATGTGTTGGATACTGGAACAAATATTCTACTGCTCTTTCGCATAATACTGATGGTTTTCTCCTCTTAGAACAAACAAACCTAAATTCTTATAGATCTCTGTAACTTAATGGAGAGAATCGAATACGTGGGTTATATCGTTCTAAACGTTTTGTTGAGCATCTGAGCACGTTAGAAAAATTCTTTTTGTGGACTTCAGATAACCCCTTAACTGACACTATATCCGTGCTTGACATTAATGATATTGATCAGCTCTGTGAATTTCCTGAATCCTTTTAATACTAATTTTTTCTTTTGCTAATTTTGCTAATTTCAACAGTTGTATGCTGTAGTATTTCTGTTTTATTGATTTATTTTTATCGAAGTTTCTTATTTTATTCTTAAGTGTTATCGAGATGCTAGTCAGTAACTGTTCTCTGATAATTATAATTTCTATGTATTATCTTACTCTTTTTTCTATTTTTTGGTGGTACGCCTGTGTGAAGACTTTTCCTGTAAGATTTATACGTAAACTTTTCTTTTGTACTGTAAGGACCCGACGAGTCACAGTTATTTTGCAAATATATAGATTATAGACAGTTTACTATGGAATGATTGCAAAATATCGGCATGGATAAAAGAACTTTTCCTACCTCATATAATCATGTTTACATAATATGGTATTTTCTTTGGTAAAAAATGTATTTCCTAAATCTGATAACAAAAATCCACAACTTTGACATCTCAAACAATTTACATGCCAATATCGTCCATTATTCAATCGATCATTTGTATAGAGTAAATATCTTTCTTGAATAAATTGATCACATAGCGAACATAAAAATTTTCCTGTTACCCCTGTTGTCGGTAACATGTGTGATTCATAACGTGTCATTTGTGTCGGGGGTGGAAGCATTTTTGAATTAGAATTTGTATCATTATACACAACATCCACATAACGAGATGAAGAAGATGAAGATTCAAATTTTGGCTGCATCATTGATTGATGCACAGTAGTTACTAATGGAGTTGCACCACCTAGAACACAGAAGGTTTTTTTAATTAATATTTTACAGTAATCATTCTCAGTCAATTTCTAACGGTGATGCGTTCATGCACACACATACACCTACCCCACTTTCAATTCATTTTCAATTACGATGATCGATGACGATAGATCTGTGTGTGTATATACGTAGACAGAGACACAGAATGAGAGAGAAAAATAGTTTCCGTCTTCTACTTGACATCTATCGTTCCAACAAAACAAAAAAAAAACAAAAAAAAATGAATAGAACCTTAAAAGTTTTTATATTAGCAGCAAGATTCGAACTAGATAGTAGTCATTATTCAAAAATTTAATTTCATTATTTGTACACGAGAGCAATCCAAATATGTTTTGACCATTATTCTAATAACCACTATTATTATCACTAGAGATAGTGTGAAAAAAACAAAAAAACACACAGGGAAACCAATGATTCTTTCCTTAATATCAACCCACAAGTGCGAAGTGTAAGGAATACAAAGAAAACCATAGGAATTATATTCTATACGTAAATGAGGTGTTTGAAAACTAAAAACAACGTGAATCTCTGATTATGTCATTCTCCAGTGAATATGATGAGTGAATAAATACACCTTTCTTAAAGAGTATTTGTTAAAATAAAAACACATGAAAAGTTTTCACAGTAAACAAGCTATACATGAACTATTTCTGAGTTGTTTGTATTATGTTTGTGTACGAAATTCTAGAGTAGAAATCTACAGAAGGTTCAGTTTATCTTCTATTTTTGACTGAGTTCGTTATTGAACACGTCCAGCTTGTGTGTGCCTTTATCTTACCTGTTCGTAACATTGTCTTTCTCTCTCTCTCTAACATATACACATATCTGCATAACCTAAACTGCACAAAGTCATATGCACATGGTATATTGTCAGTAAAAGAAATTGCTTCTCTTTCTATGCACACTGGTCGTCAATTAATGAATGAGAGGGGAGGAACGAAACGAAAAATTTTTTTTAAAAAACTTCGAATATAGACAGCTGTGTGTTTTATCCTAATTAAACAAATTAGTTGAGCATATGCCATGGAAGAATAGAAAAAGGGAGAGAAAAATAGAACGGACTAGAAGTGGTAGTTAGAACAGAATTTTACCATTACAAAAAGATAATGAATAGTGGAGAGAGCAAGCAATGAAACCGGCAAATAAATATTGTCTCATTAGTATACAGTGAGCATCCGATTTTGATCAATTATAGTGAAACAAAGATATACAATTAAGATTCAACTAATGAGAAAGGAAATGTAAAAATAATTAAAACTGATTACGTTCAATTAACAACAGTATAAGTCCTATGATCAAAAGTTCTATAGAATTAACAGTCAGCATCGAGATTAAAAAAAATTTTCTCTCATCACAGTTCTGTCGTTTTTTAGTTAACAAAAAATTTCGTTTCTTTTTTCGTTCTTTGCACTGTTTTCTTTATACTATACTGCAATGAAAGGATCTAACGAACAATTGATCTATTGTATAATTAGAAATGAACGAATTTTAACACATTATAATTACCTTTTGTAGATCATTAATAGTTCTATATATCTTCATTCTTCTAATACAAAGACGTTTGATGCAAAAAATTCTTTCATGATCGTCGGAATAATTTACAGCATAAGTAAGAGAATAAGAGCACTGTGATCGGATTTGAAGTTGTATAGTGAATATGAAATCGACTTCTAAAGTGGTAATAACATGTTTCTAAGTTAAGAAAGTTTTGAATACTTCCAAACGAAAATATTTTCAATGTAAACTAATAAACATTAATTAAAATGATCAATCGAATTCTTAGTATTTTTCTAATTTTTTTTTTGTCATCCTATCGATTATGAGCGACGTCTGATGTCGTTGTTCATATAATGAACATGATTGCCCGCAATAATTAAGAACGTGGACCGACTAATTGAAAAAAACAACAACAGTTTCTAATCTTATCGGAAGTTGTGTATTTCATTCTAGAAGAAGCAGTGCTCAATGACCCGTCTAGTATTTAGGACATCAAAGTTTCTAGGTTATTTTTTCAATAGTATGCAAAATGAAAGACATTATCGATAGATGCCGTTTTACTAATTAGATGATAATGAAATATTTTCGATATTGCATATACCTTTAGTCTTCATGTACGTATACAAACTGAAGACAATTTGAAAATTTTACAAAGACTTTTTTATAGTACCTCACTGAATGGGACGGTGTTTTTTCACTTCTTGTGTCAATTTTTTTCATAATAAATTGATTTGTCAAGTACACAATGTCGTTATATATATGTGTGTATTTAGCACATTTTTTTTAATTTATAGGAGTAAGGACAGCAAACACTCATACAAATAGAGAGATGACGTCGTTTTTCTCTCTCGTCTTTTCATTCACCATCTTTAAATTATAGAGAGATTTATTCGATGTTTTTTTTTTTTTCTTCTTTTAATACATAAAGATGATTGTCATTTTTATTAAATGTTTTATGAAAGAATGAAAGAAAAGAGAAACAAAATAATATCCTAATGGAAGAATGAACGAATGATTCTCTCTCTCTTCGTTTTTTTTTTATTATTTTCATCAAGTATATACAAACGAAGCTTAAAGTTGTCAAATGAATGAAGAGTGTGTTTTGGCATATTTTATCGATTATCACATATCATCATTATCATTAAAGAAGTAGATATTTTTTATAGTTAATAGAAAGAAAGAGAGCGAAAACAGTTTATATAGTCTATAGACTATACATACAGTATATAGCTACGTATCAGCTTCTATATATAGAGAGATACATATAATATTATCAGTATATAGAAAGATAGAAAAAACCCACTTATAGTGTGTATGCACATAATCATTGAATTGATGAAAAAACATTTAGAATGTGCGTGTAGATATAGATAGGTTCTGTTCTTTCTCTTCATATCAGTACCTCGATAAAAAAATGAGTGAAGAGTGAGAAAGAATGAACATTCCGTTTTTCCTTTTTGTTGTAGAATGAATAGAGAGAAAGAAGGCTGTAGACGAAGTGTATGATTTAATCGACACATTTCGGATAAATAAAAATGCTTTTATCCTAATTGCATTGTCAAACAAACAATAAGAAAACGTTAATATATTACGTAATCAATTTTTTTTATCCATAATACCGGGATCATTTTAGCCGCTTCTCTACTGATTATGTAAGCAATAAAAAACTTTTGTACTGCATTTTCAACGCAGAAAAATGTTCGTTTTTTTTCTTAACTCATCTCAACGATAGTTAAGTGACACTCCGGGCTGATGAACTTTTTTAACCGGACTGTGAATGGACTGAGAATTGACTGGGAGTGGAAAACAGAGGACTTGCCCAACTCTGACTAGTTTAACAGCTTTTATGATACAAAAATTTAAAAAATCTCGTTTTTGGTTAAGCGTTTACCAGATGTTGTTGTAACGAATTTCCAGAAAGAAATAGCGATCTTCGAACTTTAAATTTTTCTCCTCTTCGTTAGACGCCCTCCGCGAATCCTCCATATCGACAATTTTCTAACCCTAATACACAGCCTTTTCAGTTTTAGTTCTTCATATTTTGCGATATAAAAAAAGAGAAGGTAGTCATTTTGTAGCCCTAGAAAAGTTCTATCAACTAGTTACATTTAAAACTCATCATAACGACAAACAGAGCTTTGTTCTTCTACAGACTTTGTCAAAAATTATGCTGGAGAACATGTTGAAAGTGAACTGATGATACACGAAAAGAAAGATGACACTGCGAAGTACTGAAGCTTACATTTCTACCACTTTGTTCTATGCGGTTGTGTTAAAAATAGTTCTTTTGTTGTGTTTTTGGGTTAGAAAATTGTCGATATGGAGGATTCGCAGTATTTCCTCTATATTTCTTTAATTATGGGATGTTATGTGTTTATTGTAGAGAACGGAACGGCGAATCTTGGGCAAAAAAAAGAACTGCAAGGAGCCTAAGGGAGAAAGGAAAAATTGAAAATACTAATGCCGGCATTTCTTCTGGGGACAGCAATATTTAGCGACTCTCTTCTCCCTAGCGCAATTAGACATAATCTTTCGTAATACTTCCCACCCTCTGGTTGATTACGTAAATTATGGACTCTCTCTAAGCGAGAAAGCTCTTTTGGAAAATAAGTATATCTACTTTAATATAATCAAAATTCATCTCTCTCTCTATCTAATTACGCAGGCTACAGACAGGAAAGGCAACAGAGCATTCAGCTCGTCATCAATGTTTTTGCGTGGGCGATTACTCTAAAGACTTGTGGTGGCGCCGCCATTACTAACAGTGTAGACCAAGCCTGAGCTTTTCTACGGTTTTGGATGCCCAACTGTACATTAAAATCTTGAACTCTTTCTTGCATATTTTAATTGAATGGAAATAAACATGACATCATATCCACTTTTTTTACACATACCAGCCCTTTCTCTCTCATCTTTTTTACATGCTCAAAGCTCAGATGTGTTTCGCTTATCTCGTAGAAGGTTTATTTTCTTCAAACTCACATAAAAAAGACGCGCATGCTCTTTCATACGCAAGAAAAAGGTCATCTGACACTTTTGCTTCATATAATGCACAAATAACTTTATTAATAATATTTGTCAGTCGACCAGTAGATGTGTACATTTTTCTATGTCTCTGTTATCGTATACCTACACAAAATAAAACAAATGAATTTTGATGACTAAGCAAAGTAGTCAAATTTCTTTTTTACTTTTGTGTCATTTATGTATAGAGAAGCATCGATGTCAGCGAAGCATCTAAATCTTCGTCACTAAGTGTTTATCACGTCAGAAAAATGGATATAGATCTCGTTACTAAAAGTTCCGAATTTTCAATTCTTTGAAAAAAAAATCATGGCGCTTTGAAGTGTTCAGATAAGAAGTATACTTTACTCTCAATCAAGTAAATATTATTTGGGAGAAATAAGTCAATGGTGGTGTTAACCCGCTAATTTTGCCAGTGCATAATTGTTTTAACTATTGTCAGTTATTTGATAACACATACAAGCATACGCACATCACAAATGTATATTACGTTTCATTACAAACTGTATACTATACAGAATAGAAATATATGTAGAACGTACAGGAAATAAAATAGCGGATTTTATTCCTTATGGTTAGTGTATTTTTTCTATCATTTTTGATGGCGATATGGAGTACAGCTAGATTTTTATGTTTTTTGTCTCATTCTAAAATCTAGTCTAGCTCTGAATATCTGGTTCATACATGCAATTTCTATTATTTTTTCATTAATTCTTTTAAACTTAGTATTACCACACTGCTACTACCATATGTCATAATACACGAGTTTATGAATAACTGTCCATCATTTCGATGCTGAGCCTATGGACGTCTTCACTTTGCGCAATAACTATCTCTAATTGTTAAAACACACGACTGACTGTTTTTATTGGACATAATTAATATTGCTCATCTCTAAAATGAATTGACTCAAACTAAACTGATCAAAGTTACGTCATTTGACGATCTCGAGGTAAATCTAGACCTAATTTAACATTATAGGGCAGGTGAGACGGAATCACCAAAAGTGACAAAGCTGAGAAATTTTTTGAGTCAGAGCAATGGCACCGACAAAAGATTATTCCGACAACTATTGAATGTTATTTCTATCTCAGCATTAAATTCCTCGACACTTACGATTGATCAATGTATTCATGTCTCTAAAAAATTACAGAAATTTTTTCGAATAAACTTTCTTAACTGTCTTATAGCGAGAAGAGATATAAACCGTCGCAATTTGTCGAGCAAGAGAAACAAATCAATAAAGGGATGCTTTACTTAAATGTAGAATTATTTTCAAAAGTAAGCTTCACAGCTTTAAAGATGTTTGTTCAGTTCAAATCTCCTAAGTTTTTGCGTTCAACTATTATCGAAATGGAAATGTTCCGAGTTGAAAAATTATGTTGAACAAGGATATAAGAAAGTCATTGCTTTTAATGGTCTCTAGATACCTTCCAATCAGCAATTATCATTGGTTTGCATAATCGTTATGCGGATTGTGATTACTTTTTGTGTTGGAGTTTTTTCTAAGTAAATGGTAATTACAACTTGTACTAGTTCTTTTTCTCCTCCTACTCTCACCTGTTCATACTCAAATAATTGCTATCTTTCACTGTGAATACTAATTAAAAATATACTTACGTTAGTGTGAGAGAAAGCAAGATATGGATAGATAAAATAGAAGAAAAAGGTGTGATGATTGTGCACAACACGATAAAAATACCACTAACAGCACGTTGAAAATAGCACAGTGCAACAGAATGAAGAGAAGAGAACCTTTCTCTCTTCTCGTACGTGTGTTTGTGTGTGTGTGTGTGTGTGTGTTAGTATTGGTTTATGCGTGTTCTGTTGTATCGTTTTGATTATCTCATATCATGGATAAAGGTAAAATACGGCTATTTTAGACTGTTCTCTTCCTTTTGTCGTTATTTCACTTATAGAGTATCCGCACCTATTTTTTTCATTCACTTCTTTCTTTTCTTGTCTTCTACCGTGTTAATGTAATCACGCACGGTGTTTGTACAAGAAACAATCAAGATTTTTTCTTCTCTTATTCTATACACCTTTTTTTTTTCTTTTTTTTTCTAATTCAATAACGAAAGTTTGTGTATGTGTGACAATTAAGCACTAAATAAAAAAAACCATTAACAGCTTCCTCCATTATAATTCTTTTAAGTAAGATTTATATCATGCACGAAATGAAACTAATAAGATAATCAAGCATAATCAGATATAACAACAAAATTAAAATTGTCACATCCTTCTCTTTTGTATAAGTTATTGACCTTTTTTCTTCTTTTCTTTTTTTTTAATAAAAAGAGAAAAAATACTTCTTTCACGTCAGCTGATGGGAACGTACACAATTGAATTAATAGATGACATCAACACTTCTTGACATTTTTTGACCATTGAAGAAGAAGAAGAAAAAAAAATTCTCTATTTATCCATTATATCTAATAAGTTACATGCGTCAATTAAAGTTTTGCATCCATTATCTTTTTAAAGTTTCGTTTATTTAAACCTATATTTATCTTATGTTAAAATCTTATTATATGAACAAATCATTTCACAACTAAAATATAATTCTTTATGTACGTTATGAGGGCTATAG